GCAGCCCTTATTACATATAGATCATGGACCAAAGACGTCATTGGTGGTCAATTTTGTGATGAATATTCATCAGTTAAAATACACTTGGGACAAACTCAATAAGGTAAAATGCCTGTATTGGCAACTTAAAGACCCGACAGTGGAGGGATTGCGGACCTATCTGAGATCAACACGGTTAAGTGGGTTATTTTGTGACAGGCAGACATTTATTCATCCGGGAGGAAAATTGAGTGGATGATTCCAGGGTGTATTTCCGTCTCCGCATGAATCACATCAGTGACGCCGCGCATCTCGGTGTCACCTTGCTCTCTCTCCTGCATGTCGAGAGCGGGAAAGATTCAGGTTAATACTGCCTTTGTTATATATGTGCCGTGTTTCCAAACACAATCATCTCATTGCGGGCTAGACACGTAATACAGGCTGTCCCTACACATTAAGTCTGCAGGCGTGTGACATCAATCAAAAAGACCTGGGAATGTTATCGAACTGTATAATCGATTTGAACTTTGACTATTCTACTTAATGACTCGTCAATATATTATCGACGTTTATTCATTATATATTACTCACACAATATCTATACACCTGGCGAATATTCATATTAAAACCGATTTCATCAATTTTGGCCAATATCATATATGGTTATTTTAGCAAATTTTAACAAATTATGAAATATATATTTTCACGAGTGAATGCCTCGCACAACTGAATGGGGTAAATGAACCACACTCAACTGGTTCCGCTATCATGTTGCGTAGGTTTTCAGGAAACTGCACTTGTAACTGTCGACTCGTGAGTAATAATTAGCAGCACCAATTACATGTCCATGATATGTGCAAGTCAGAGTCAATGAGTCCGATGTTACAAGTGCCTGGTTTTAATTAGTATGTCATAGCGCCAGGTGTTGGCGGAAAGGACAGCGTATCCTGCTCCTTTGGTGTCTCAAGTTCAATCGTTGTATTGCATGAAGGCCACAGGCCCATATACACACAAAATAGTTATTATATGTACGACATATACAACATGCGACACACACGTTACATTAAATCTCTTCTCGATACGAGCGCATGATTAATATTGAACGAATGAATGAGTTTAGTTTTACGCCTCACTCAGCAATATTCCAGCTATATGGCGGAGATCTGTAAACAATCGAGTCTGGGCCAGACAATTCAGCGATCAGCATAATGAGCATCGATCTACGCTATTGGGGACCGATGACATGTGTCAACCAAGTCAGCGAGCCGTGACCACCCGATCCCGTTAGTCGCGTCTTACGACAAGCGTGAGTTACTGAAGATCAATTCTAACCCGGACCTTCACGGGGAGCATGATTAGTAAACAGAGCTACCTTATATTGTAATAAGGATGCTTTACAGGAACGTATTAAATACACTTTTGTAGTATTAATTTTTTATGGTAGCCATTTTCGAAAATATATTTGTCTTCATTATATACAGGACTTGCCGGACGTGCAGGTGTAAGGTGATTTCAATAGCTAACGGGGATGTTCTCTGACTTAATATGTCCCACTTTCCTCAAACTTGTACATCCTCACTTTAAGACTTTGGGAAACATTCCTTAAGGTAGGAAATAGAAAACGTTTTGGTATCCATGTTTATACTATGTGAACTTCACTTGCAGGAGAAGCAAGTCCTCTGCTTCTCCAACTGTTAAGCCATAGCCGACAACTGGGCACAGACGTGGTATTTGTAAGTAGGAATATCATTCACACAATGATCGACATACACGTGGTAATTAGAAGTAGGAATATCATTCACACAATAATCGACATGCACGTGGTAATTGGAAGTAGGAATATCATTCACACAATGATCGACATACACGTGGTAATTGGAAGTAGGAATATCATTCACACAATGATCGACATATCGTTCACACAATGATCGACACGTGGTAATTATAAGTAGGAATCATTCACACAATGATCGACATACACGTGGTATTTGGAAGTAGGAATATCATTCATACAATGATCGACATACATGTGGTAATTGAAAGTAGGAATATCATTCAAATGATGATCGACATACACGTGGTAATTGGAAGTAGGAATATCATTCACACAATGGTTGACATACACGTGGTAATTTGAAGTAGGAATATCATTCATACAATGATCGACATACACGTGGTAATTGGAAGTAGGAATATCATTCACACAATGAGCGACATGCATGTGGTAATTGGAAGTAGGAATATCATTCACACAATGGTCGACATACACGTGGTTATTGTAAGTAGGAATATCATTCACACAATGATCGACATACATGTGGTTATTGGAAGTAGGAATATAATTCACACAATGATCGACATACACGTGGTTTTTGGAAGTAAGAATATCATTCACACAATGATCGACATACACGTGGTAATTGGAAGTAGGAATATCATTCACACAATGATCGACATACACGTGGTAATTGGAAGTAGGAATATCATTCACACAATGATCGACATACACGTGGTAATTGTAAATAGGAATATCATTCACACAATGATTGACATACACGTGGTAATTGTAAATAGGAATATCATTCAAACAGTGATCGACATACACGTGCATAATATCATTCACACAATGATCGATATACACGTGGTATTTGTACGTAGGACTATTATTCACACAATGATCGACATACACGTGGTTATTGGAAGTAGGAATATGATTCACAAAATGATCGACATACACGTGGTAATTGGAAGTAGGAATATGATTCACACAATGATCGACATACACGTGGTTATTGTAAATAGGAATATCATTCACACAATGATCGACATACACGTGGTTATTGTAAATAGGAATATCATTCACACAATGATCGACATACACGTGGTAATTGTAAATAGGAATATCATTCACACAATGATTGACATACACGTGGTAATTGTAAATAGGAATATCATTCAAACAGTGATCGACATACACGTGCATAATATCATTCACACAATGATCGATATACACGTGGTATTTGTACGTAGGACTATTATTCACACAATGATCGACATACACGTGTTTATTGGAAGTAGGAATATGATTCACAAAATGATCGACATACACGTGGTAATTGGAAGTAGGAATATGATTCACACAATGATCGACATACACGTGGTTATTGTAAATAGGAATATCATTCACACAATGATCGACATACACGTGGTTATTGTAAATAGGAATATCATTCACACAATGATCGACATACACGTGGTTATTGTAAACAGGAATATCATTCACACAATGGTCGACATACACGTGGTTATTGTAAATAGGAATATCATTTACACAATGACCGACATGCACGTGGTTATTGTAAATAGGAATATCATTCACACAATGATCGACATACACGAGGTTATTGTAAATAGGAATATCATTCACACAATGATCGACATGCACGTTGTTATTGTAAATAGGAATATCATTCACACAATGATCGACATACACATGGTAATTGTAAATAGGAATATCATTCACACAATGATCGACATACACATGGTAATTGTAAATAGGAATATCATTCACACAATGATCGACATGCACGTGGTTATTGTAAACAGGAATTCCGTTCACATAATGCTCGACATACAGGTGCATAATACCATTCACACAAGGATATAAGTAGAAGAATCATTCACGTGATGACATACACATGGTGGTTGTAAATAGGAATATCATTCGACATAGACGAGGTAAGAATCAACAGGAATATCATTCACGCGATCAGATCGACGTGATAATTGAAAATAGGAACATCATCCATGATTCTTTTTTTATCCCTGTAAGTAGGAATATCGCGCACGTGTTGAGAATAGGAATATAGGATAGGAATATCAACTGGAAATAGTAATATTATTTACACAAGAACTAAGATAAACAGTCAAGGACGTTTTTACATTGACATTTAAGAACACCTAGCTTCTGGAACGTTGATTGAACAGAAAAGAAATCGTGGACTGAACAGAATATGTTGAGAGTGATGTGTTCTATATAGCTACTGTTACACGTAGAACCGACAGAAACATAGATCTCTACTATTGACGGTGCAATCCTCTGACTCACATGCTCCACATAAAAGCCTATAATTCCGCTCGGCTGTCATCGGCTTGTTAATATGCAGTTTATTTTGCTGCCAGATGTTTAGAGAATGTTCACTGCCCTTAACTTCATATTATTTATCGCTTAGTGTCATATATAATATTACGGTATTACATGACTTGCTGGTATATAATATGGAATTATTGCTATATCTGAACGTGTCCAATTAGTTCACTGTTGCGCGTTTATGGAGTTAGTTTTTAAATTAGATCCACAATGAATTGAGCGTTGCTGTGAGGCACGACATAACCGTAATTCATTTGCATTCCTGAAAAAGAGGCGTGCACATTCATTTCCATACTCTGAACACAATATAATTCACAGGTTATTTCCACTATGTCTGTCCACAATACCAGTCGCAGGATTTACCCTGATATCTATTGTAAATATGTAGTCCCCGCGGGGTTTCTGGTTATCATTCACAATGTCTGGCTCCCAGGAGTTCCACCACCTGACTTATATTCACATTACCTGATTCCCCGCTATCATATTGTCACAATGTGTCTTTCATTAAATCCAATCATGTTTTGTTTCAGTGGTATGTTCAGATATGACTTCACATGATTATATTCACATGTAATATATTACCCGTGAAGATCCGGGTTAGATTTGGTCTTCAGCAACCTTAGCGACTAAGTCGGGTGGTCAGGCTCGCTGACTTGGCTGAAATCGTATCCTAAATGCGTAGGTCGATGCTCATGTTGCCGATAACTGGATTGTCTGGTCCAGATGGAGTATTTACAGACCGCTGCCATATGGCTGTAATATAGCTGAATGCGGCGTTAACTAACCAACAAACCATGTATGTTTCCACCCAATTGTTCACTAATTGTTAAATCTGACGACTGTAGTAATGTTGTATTCTCTCCGACTTCAGATATGGAACATCATGTATATGATCTTTATCTCCGTCGCCATCATCGTCTTCTGTCTATTCAATGAGCCCATCTTCAGGGTTAGGACCAACCAAAACAACAACGGCTCCATCACCAACAACTCGGCGTACGACGATACCTCGACCTTGGGGATGTTGATGAACACGCTCCCCAACCCCTACCTGTACGTCATCGACAACATCTGCCTTGTATTCTTCACTATAGAGATTGTGATTCGCCTAACAGTGTGTCCTAACAAGCCCCGGTTTTTCAAACATCCTCTGAACATACTCGACATATTTCTTATCGCCGTTATGTGGATTGTGTTCATCATGGATCGATTCCCTGAAGTCACCCACGATTCCTCTGATATAAAGAGAGTCGAAACCTTCTTACGACTGTGTTTTTCGTTGAGGATTTTTAGAGTTCTACACTTCGGAAAAAGATCCCAGACCATGAAGATTCTTATTCTGACGTTCAAGTCCAGCGCCCGAGAGTTGTCGGTCCTTATGATTGGGCTTGGGATGGCCGTGCTGATCTTTGCTACATTAGTTTTCACCACCGAGATGGTTCTGATGTCGCACACGTTCGACAGCATCCACAAAGCTTTATGGTGGGCTCTCATTACCATGACAACGGTGGGTTACGGAGACTATGTCCCCAAGTCAGTTCCTGGGCAAGTGGTGGGTTCCATCAGTGCTATAATAGGACTCCTCATACTGTCTCTACCTATTGCTATTATCGCCTCCAACTTCAATGTCTATATCTCCAACGTCAGTGCCCGAGAACTCCGAAAGAAGCAGACTCCGAATGCCTCGACCGATCCCGACACCCCCCTTCCTGTGGTGGCTAACCCTGGTGAAGACCCTCCGTTGGACACATCCCACGTGACTAGACTTGAAGTGAAGGAAATGGATGAGCATATGTAAACCGACATGCCTCGAGTGTCATAGAGCAACAAATTGTTTAACACACGTAAAGAGGGAGGTTTTCGTACAAAAGAGAAAATATTATTATTGAAAATTTGTATGAAGTCATCTTAGCGTGTTCTGAATATTGTTGACGTGCTGAATTCTGTTTCTGTGAAAACAATAAAGCAGCTACAGATATACAGTGAAGCATAACAAGTTGTAAGAGGTACAATGTTCTCTGGTTGTCTAGCTATGTACAGATCACCCGCTGCCTTCCTGGTGACGCTGTACGGACAATATCTCACCGTATCTGTGCATTACTATGTGAAACTGTAAACGGACGCATCACAAACACATTGGACTGTTGTCGGAAATTTGTAAAAAAAAAATTCACTGCATTTAGTGTGGGATTGTGGATGTCTGGTGTGTGGCAAATAGCTTAACCAGCGCAGATAATATTTGTAGCCATGGTAACTCTGATGTCATAACCTGAACATATATGTACATGTCCAACATGTACAAGGTCCACTTGCTCCCAAAGCGGCTTTAGCGCTACGACTGTCTTTTGTCTATAATGAAATATGGAAGTTGTGATACACATGTGATCCATCTGTGATACACATGTGATATATGCGGTCTCACCTTAGGCAAGTGAGTTTGTTCAAAATTGCCTCTGTTCACCTAACAGAAAAAATGGGTACCCGGTGGGATAAGCCATGTGACTATAACCTTCTAGCGCCTAACAGGCAGCCTGGGTTATCCGGGGTAATAATGTTGTGGTGTTTGTGCGCGCGTTGAGCATGCCCCTTTGTGGTGTGGAGTATTGTGCGGTATAAGTAACCTCATTATTATTATCATTACGTTGTTGTCATAGTAGCGCTAAGATCGCTTTGTGCAGATGGGGCCTAGTCGATAGTGTTGAGACGATGGATACGCGGTGGAGTCCAAGTGATTGTACAGGAATATTGCAGAGAGACCAACATGTGTACATATGTAACATAACACTTGCACCTTCCATTGTCATACTGTCTCTTTTACTGATACCTTCAATATTTTGTGCTGTTATATATGCTAACGAAGTCGTTTGTAAACACTGAAGATGCTGGAACAGTCAACAGTTCGGATATGCGAGGTATGTAACTTAAAGGTGTGGTGTAGATATACATTTGTCTGTTATGTTACATGTAACCAATAACAATATGTAAACATATTCAAATGTTGCATGTTGCATGCTGCAGTTTTGAAAAATAAATGCGAAGTATGATGGCCCTGGTTGTCTCCCTTAGTGACCCTGGGCATGGACATCAACCTTCACATACAAACCGTAAACAAACATGTCACATGCGTCAGAAGGGTGTTTATTTATTCACATCGACACCTTTTGAAAATGTAATATTTGATCGACAAGCTCCATCTTAACGAAACCAAACTATTAACATGTGTGACTAAAATACCACAGCCACCATCCGTTTCTGCACCAACTGTTCCTGTGAGCAAAGTCTTGAACACAGTTTCAGTACCAACTGCATCTGTGAGCCAGGTCTAGAACACAGTTTTAGCACAATATGCTCCTGTGAGCCAGGTCTTGAACACAATTACAGCACAACATGCTCCTGTGAGCCAGGTCTTGAACACAGTTTCAGCACCAACTGCATCTGTGAGCAAAGTCTTGAACACAGTTTCAGCACCAACTGTTCCTGTGAGCCAGGTCTTGAACACAATTACAGCACAACATGCTCCTGTGAGCCAGGTCTAGAACACAGTTTAAGCACCAACATGCTCCTGTGAGCCGGGTCTTGAACACAATTACAGCACCAACTGCATCTGTGAGCCAGGTCTAGAACACAGTTTCAGCACCAACTGCTCCTGTGAGCCAGGTCTTGAACACAGTTTCAGTACCAACTGCATCTGTGAGCCAGGTCTAGAACACAGTTTTAGCACCAACTGCATCTGTGAGCAGTCTCCATCAATTGTCAGCACCATGTACATCTGTAACCATTCTTATAGTATCTCTTCAGTTCGTATAACTGAGAGTCTTTTGGTGGTGGAGCCGTCGTATGTGTGTAGACGTTGGACGACGTAGAAGTGGTCGCGTCTGGTCTTTCCAGGCGGGGCCGAATACACCCGTGAGGACCCGACCGAGTAGACTGAAGCCGGCTAGAAGGCACATGTCTTGGCGCATCTACAACACCACACATGTCATACATATATTGACAAATTATGACAAACCAAACTTGTTACACGCTTGTAGTTTTACTTAATATTAACAATGTACTGTGTACGGGTGCCAAATGAAAGTGGGCCTAGGCAGCAGATTATATTACACAACCATGCATCTATACTATACAATCCTAACAGTGTGTGAGTCGCATTTAGCAACATTCCAGCAATATCACGGCGGGGGACACCGGAAATGGGCTTCACATATGTACCCATGTGGGCAATCGAACCCGGATCTTCGACGTGACGAGCCAACGCTTTAATCATTATGCTACCCCACCGCCCCAAGCATATTAACAGGGACTGTATACTACTCACACTTTGGATCACAAAGATTTATAATCACGTAGATTTATAATTTGAAATTGTATCCATTTAAAACTGGATAAATAATGATATGGTTGTTAAACACGTCTTTAGGAAAACAACCACTTTAAGCTATCCATATGCACCTCATACATAAGTAACTATAAAAATGGTTTTCGTGGCACCCAATCAACCATTTTGTAAATCATGGCATGGGCCATTGATAAGTACACAACACCTGCCAATAGCAGGTATGGGATCCACCAGATGAAATGACATACTGAAAACTTGGATCCATGCTTACAATAAGCTTAGATATTTAAAACAAATTTGACCCCACATCATAGTTTTCTGTTGAATCAATGATTTGATCCTTAGCAAAGTGTGAGTAGCATCGATTTAGACACAGTTGAGGCGCGAGGACATACAAGGGCACATACCAACAGCAGCAGGTGTGCTTTGGTCTTGCTTCAGGGACTTCCCTGTTGACTTCGTAGTGGCGCCACTTCTACACAGTGTCAGCAACTTGTGCGCAGAGATCCCACTGCTTCCGGAGGAATCAAACACCACAGACATATCTGTCGTTTCACCTGTTAGAAAAAAGATGAACATTAAAATCATGTTTCCCTCTAAAGAGTTAATCATATCATTAAAAGGTTGCAGTTGGGAAAAAGAGGTCGTTTGGATTCAAGGTCTCACCGGAAGAATTGAGGACCTTGAGAGCCATTGCTTCGACTGTTCGTCTTCTTTCGTCAAGGACGTCATCGCGCTGTTCTATTTGTCTTCTGCGTGTGTTGAGTCTCAGCAGACGATCTTCTAGAATTTTACTGAGTACTGCCAACACTGAGGTGTTGTGGTTAGAGCAGGTAGCCGGCGACAGGCAGCAATCACTGTCAGGGGATACGATAGACGCGATGTTACTCTCCAGCCACGACAAGACTTTACTGGAGGAAGACCTCATGTGACATGCAGCAGACGACATCTGTCTTCTTTTGAGACCTACGTTCAGGTAGTCCATTCTGAGCGTTTGTTGACGTGAAGGAGGGAAAGAATCAACCGTGGGAGCAGCCATATCCCGGGTGCTTATGTAGGTAGCTGAATGGCGTGTTTTCATAAGGAGCTCATTGTACGAAGTTTACAGTAGACCTTTGCCTTTGGATATTGCAATCACACTTTGTTTGATCACTGAATAAACAACGCCATTGTCCTTAAAAAGACAAACTGTTACTTACGTCACCTCGGAAGCCAGTCCGCGATTCTTGGCTTGGCTTCATATAAACATGCGTTATCTCCTGGCTTCCATTGCGTGTTGTTTTTATTACATCACACTGGCCATTATAGCAGTAGTACAGATGTATATGGCGTCTCGGAAGATGGTGGTTATAAAACTGGAATGGGTCCGGGTACAATCTCAGATGTATGCTTACTAATCTGACCTGTTAAGTCTGAAATTCGGAATCATTTACAATCGAACGTTTTCATTTGGACGCCGGATAAATAAATGTTTTGCCAGTAACCACCGCCACCTAAATTCTACGGAAGCAAAACAACCATGCAAAAAACATCGGTCGAAATCTATCACGTATCCCTGCAGTGAAATAAATGGTTAAATGTCGGATAAAACACGAATAGATAGTGATTAATCATTGTAACTGTAAATTGTAATCAATTGTAGGCACATTTTCTCCCAATTTATCGGTGATTCATTTGGAAAGCATAAAAAACTAGAACACTTAGAATTTGGTTGCAGCGGTCTGAATTCTATCTGAAAGTGAAACCATTTCTACAACAGGAATAATATCTTGCAATGTTGCAGGCGTTTACTATATCTGATTAAAATAATAATAATAATAAAAACTGCAGGCTATTTGAGTTGAAATTTACCGCGCCTCTTCTATTTCTCTTGCGAAAACAGTATGTTGGAATATGATTGACCTGCCGCAACAATTGCTCCCATTAAAGAGTCAAATTATGGCATTTAAGATATATATATATATATATATATTCATTCTCTGTCAACTAACGTTCGTTTAAAATTTTCAATAGAGATAACCCCTTGATGGAGTCTTTGAACGACATTTTGACGTTTCGGGGTGCATTCATACTCCTTCAACCCGTTACTGGTTGATGTGAATAACGGTAATTTGGTCGATCACTGACGATTACGCCGAAATCAGTGTACTCCACATTGTATGAAATTTTGAATAAATAAGTAATAAAGATGATTACAAACATGCATCTTGACATGCGCTGAACATTGTGTGTAACCAGTATGTGTGGTAACATGATTAAATTAACATTGTGTGTAACCAGTAGGTGTGGTAACATGATTAAATTAACATTGCAGTTACATGATACCAGCCCTTTGATTATTAATGCGGTTGATAGCAAAACGAGCATTGACAAGCGTGGTCGTTTCCCAGTAAGTTAGACACAGTACTGTTTATTACCCTAAGAATATTGTCGAATTCTGATTGGTCAGTAGCCAAAGCATACCAAACCATGCAGGTGGATTTGCCAGGGTATACGAACCGTACACCCCGTCAAATCTGTCATGTGACACACTACACGGGTTGTACGAATGACCTTGACCTTAGATGGAATGTGGCTGCTAAACGGCTGATCGCTTCGAAATTTTAGAGTTGGCGTATACAATTATGAGTATAAACAGAGTAATAAGATTGGTGTCATTATTATTTGTATTTGTTTGTGTCAATACATACATCTAAAAAATAAAATTTCACTTGTCGTTTAACAAAACCTCAAATTCAATAATGTTTATCATAAAACTAAGCCATCCTGAGTTATCTCCCTTTATGACCGTTCAATAACGTTTTGCGTCTCATTCTGCCGATGATTGAATATTGTTGTTTAAAGATAAGCTAAATAAAAAGATCTTAAGGGTAAGAAATTCGTACAGGTATAAGGGTGTACAGTACAAAAGGCTTAACAGTCCCGTACATCCTTTCAAAACACCGTGTAACTAATAGTATTTGGTGCTGTTTTGGAACGAACTGGAATTCCCTGGAACTAGTTGTCCAGATAAATGAAACATTTTGTGCAGAATATATTTCGTTTGACGTAAAAGGTGTCCCGTGGGCGAGGTTTCAGATATCTGGGTTCTAGAGAAGCGGAGTTTTTTTCCACATTATTGAATTCTCTGTACCTTTTATAATGTTATTTACAAGATCCAGGCAAGCAAAGCTTACAGAATGCCACGCTTACATCCCGAGCTGTTAAACTCCCCATTGTTCTTGGTAACCTGGGTTTGGTAGCTTCCAATCTCTTGACTGAAATAAGGAAGAGTACCGGTTTGGCTGCCAGAGACACGACCCTGGATGACACTCTGGCTATTGTAGAACACTTCAGGGTTAGGGGGTCTTCACATACACTCTGACATCATTCGTTTTGCGTCCGTCCCATTCACAACCGTACGTGTATTTTGTCTAGAAACATTACATTACTTATTTACTAATCTTATTTGTTCATGGTTTCCTCATCAATATACCTTGAATTATCTGCAAGAAATAGCATTACATATTTCAATCCGCATTCGCATGTGATTTCCGTTCTAATTTTATAAGATAAAAGGGAGGACTACTCTTGTCGGAAGTATGCCTGGCAGACGTCAAACAAACCATAGTAATGTTGGTTGTTTGAATAAGGTAACTGTGACCTTTCGTATCTTGTAAATTATGTGTAAAATGTGGCTAGGATGATTACTTGGCAGCTAATAACTGATTAGAGTATGAAACAAATAACCAGTTAAATTGATGTGGAACACACTCACTGAGCTAGGATGCCGTAGAATATTGTAAAGTACTCGGACTGTAATCTGTGTTCCTGCATTTGATAGTTGAATTACTTCTAGTGTTTGCACAGTTGTTGGTCAAACACAAGTTGTAGAATATCAATGTGTGTGACAATCAATATACCTCAAAAACCACGATCATAGCTAGCTATAAGAGTTGCCTCCCCTGCCCAAAATATACACGCATTGACCAGTGAAACTTTGAAACTCTTGGGTGCATCTCACGGTGGAAAGTTGGAAAAAGACAAAAAAAACATGTATGTTACTTGCCTTCTCAAAATATATGCTCTGGTACGTATAGCTCTAGGGGACTAGTGTACGACGCATCCTGTCATGCATTTTCAAAAATATGGTACTGCGGTATGGCGCCACGGACGCCAGACGTCCAATGTTAACTCTACTTGACATAATGTTCTACTAAGCTCCAATAGGACAGTAACAGTTATAATGATCATAAAGTGTTCTATGTGAATGAATCAGCTTTCAAATTTTAGTATCGAAATCAGGATTTGCTACAAGGTACATTATATTATTCTAAATTTAAACTTAGCTTGAATATATCTGTATATAATTACTCCCCCATGTTGTCTAACTTAATCCATGTTATATGTATATAAGTCGGTTCTGTGCTGTGTTACTTTACTCTTGCTTGACAACGGTATAAGAAGCTATACCGAAACGTCGCATCATAATAAATAGAGGAGTTGTTATCCATAAAGTATTATAATTGTCTATTATCTATCAACTTCTAAAATGCCAATCAAACAGATCAATGTCGTATATCAATCAAAATTATAACAGTATATTAAAAAGTATATGGCAAAATTATGGAATTATGTTTCATATCTTTGCATCTTGCGAAATTATGGAATTAAAATTATGTTTGTCAGATCTTGAGCACGAGAGATTATAACGGAATCTGAATACATTACCGTTATCCATGATATTGTATACAGATGATATTGTCATTGACAATATTAACTACGTTTCGTCGTCCTCATGAAGAGGCATCCAACCACGCTTGTTCCTGTTTGTGTAGAGTTTGGGAATTTTACAGACTCTTCCAACAATTCGTTCGTATTTTTTCAACTGAGAATCCTTCAATGTCAGCACAATTGGTAATGTGTAAAACATTGTAAACATGTATAGTTTCTACAATTTGTTTGGTTTATGGGCGGAAACTTGAGCAAGTGTCGATTTACTTTTAAAATGTCAATTATTCTCGAGATAAATTGGTCGATTATTTGCCATTCGGTCAATGTCACACAGACAAAAATAGTCGTTATACTATAATCGATGTTACTGACATCATCGACACATATCTTTATATCACAAAACTTTATCATATATGAATATGAAATACAAGTGATGTAATTGGCGTTTCAATACCGGCCTTCGCGAAACGTGATTTTGTAAACACTATCCAATAGGGCGCAAAGTGCACTTGGGCGTTCGTGTGAGTGTATTTATGAAAACATCTGAACACGATTCCAGGCTTATCGGCAACGTTTCAGAATTATTAGTGATTTTATTAAAAAACTTATATTATTGTTAATTAATATGCTATTTTTGAAAGTCTATACTCCAAGTAATTATCCGATTTTGTTTTGATATGTCCGTCTGGCATACCTTCCCAGAGATGGATTTTAATTATATTTTTACTAATCATTTAAGCAATAAGCCTAATTTCTTTTTCATTCTTCGAATGTTTTAATTGAAGCAAATCATCTTTTAAAAATTCTGTATTCATTAATGAAAACTTAGTTAGCATAAACATTGCTCTCGCAACTGATGTGTAGGAAAATAAACAAAACATTATTATGTATCTATTTCTGTTGTGAGTGATATGCAGGCCTACTTTGTAGTCACTTTGATTAAATGTTATATTTGAATATCGAAACCTTTTTGTCACAGCGAACACAACATTATCTCTTGTCATATTACACGATAATATTTGGAATTTTTAACTTATTTTATAACAATATCTGAATGCTAATGTTATACACTGATAGGTTCATATAAGGAATACTATGGCACAATAGTATTTCTCTGCCGAATCGTTGCAGCGTTCTATAATGCACTTATGAAATATAATACATGTTTTCCGTCCTTGAAGACATTGAAAAGAACTATCTATGCATTAAATGAAAGTTCACCTGATTAATGAGTATCGAGGAAATTATGTTCATCTACTACAGCGTTCTATAATACACTTATGAAATATAATATATGTTTTCCGACCGTGAAGTCATTAAAAAGAATTATGCATTTTCTGCAGTCACTTGGGAATTGAACTAAATGAAGGTTTATCTGATTAATGAGTATCGAGGAAATTATGTTCATCTATAAATTAGATGCAGCTTCATGTTTTTCAAGACATCTTTCCGGAATATGCGTCTGTGAAGGCGTTCAGATAATGACGATATTGCACAGTATTATTCATGAGATTCCTGTCAAAAGTAAGGTCGGATATAAGATCGATTATATTCAGCAGCGTTGGCCCTCGGGCCTATAGTACAATTACAGTTTGATTACTTGCACGTGGTGCTAGTAACATATTAAGATTCTATTGGCATTGAATGCATATTTCAGATAAAAGCTAATGTTATTAATTACACAACATCTATATTGTTTGATGTTAAAAGATTTGGCAATGTGTGTTCATACGTTACAATATTTGACAGACTTGGCAAATAATTAATAAATGATATTGATAGCACCTTCACGCTATTTAAGGAGTGAAATGTGAGCGATAGATCTTGTGGGAATTCAAAGATTAATTAAGACTGTAGCCGTCTAAGCGTAACTCTGTGCAATATTTATACATTTTCTATCCACGGACAACATGCTTCTAATATTAATATTATTTTCATCGATTCATCATATTTTACCTATAGCTGTGCTATAGTTTTTCATTAAAATGTCTTTTCTGTTGCTGGGATTGAAGTAAGTCCCACACAGAGCTGGGATCATGTGTCTGTGAAATATACATTATGCAAACGGCTGGAACCTTGTGTTCCAATACAAAACGTTCGTAACGCTACGACATTCGCATGCCTATATTAAACTATAGAGTTGGCCTCAACCATTGACTGGATTACATTCTCTTCGTCAGCAGAGAAATTTCGACTTCTCTTTTTCCTTGGGGTGCAGGCGACATTTTGCGTTTCACTTTTGGTAAACCGGAAGTAAACAGAAAACTATGGGATATATGGAAGCTAACCAGTGACGTTAACCACACTGTTAAACGTTGACGGCGACGTTAGCTAACGGCATGACTAACCATGTTTTGAACAACGGATATTTAACGTTCGGTTACCTAACGGCCGGTTGAGGATTTAACCGGCCGTTAGGAGTTAACCGGCGGTTAAGATAACCGAGTATTGAACAACCGGGCCATGGAAAATAGATTTGTAGATTATGGATCATCAGGGGAGTATGCTTCACATGAATCAGTGATACGTTATAGTCTTTGGGATTTCAGTAAGTGTGTTTGTGCTGACATTGAAAGTGTCATGTATGATATTTGTAACGAATAACAACAAATTATACCACCCTCTTCCATTGCAGATATACTTCATGTCCATGTCATATGTGTTCAAAATCGCCACAGCATGGGACAGGTTTGAACAGATTTGAATTTGCATTACAGTGTGTCCTGTGATTTGGAAGAAAGGTTAAATTATTCTTTGGAGATTGTGTCTTACCACATTGTTTCATAATTTGGAGGAAAACAAGACTTCAGAGATGCCAGTCGTGGAAGATCAACATGCCAAAGAAGCTCTCCAACATGACAGAATATCTACACAATCACCAGCAAAAATGTTGTCGCAAGAACCACGACAAGGACGAAGTCATAGACTTGGACATGCTGAGACTTCGGTTTTTGAAAGGTCTGAATGGCGGAGATATGTTGAAACTTCGGTTTTTTCTCTGCTTCTGAAGCGATATAGTCAGCAGCAATCAATCGTCCGACCAGTGACATGCACTGCAAGTAGAAGCGGTATTGTCGATGTGCATGTCAGGTTTAATGCTAATGCTAGCAACATTCAGAATCCCATCTGTCTGTCAGTGAGTGGATGCGATGGAACAGCGCCTGTGAATTGTAGTGTGAATTCCTCTGAGCTGTTACGGAGCGTTGTTACAACATCTCCAAATAGTTTCGTGTGTGCACCTTGGCCACTTTGGGAACACCAAGCTCGTCAGGATTGCATGTCAATATCTCAATTAGAGTCATCATCAGAGCAGCATGCTTCATCCATGAACGACTGTCCCATATTGTCAAATCAAGGCTTACACAGAGAAGATCAACACCAAGCTCGTCAGGATTACTTATCAACACCTCATTTAGAGTCATCAGAGCGGCATGCTTCATCCATGAACAACCATCCCAAACTATCAAATGAAGGCTTACACTTAGGAAATCAACACCAAGCTAGTCAGGGCTGCTTGTCAATATCTCAATTAGACTCATCAGAGCGGTATGCTTTATCCATGAACGACCGTCCCAAACTACCGACTAAAGATTTTCACAGCGAAGATCCAAATGTTTTGCATGCTTCCAACGCTTTGATCACCTTTTCTCTTCAAGAAGGATATGTGTTTTACAACAAAATATCTGGCTGTGCACAAAGAGTGCCTGTGTCTAGTGACTCCAAATCAACAACTAAACTATCCAGGATGGCTCGAGCAAAGAAATATGAAGCTAATGTGCCAGTAGAAAGACATAAGCATATGGTCACTGTGAAGAATTATACAAAGTTACCACCTATTGGAAGCATTTTGAAGAATCGGGACAGAGGTGGCGCTACAAGTCCAATGCAACAAGGGTCAAACAGCACAGAAAGTGGCCATGGCAAGGGCGACATGTCTCGGGTTTTCATACATGGAGTGTCTACATTACCGTCCTACACACCGCGACTTCCTCGCGAATCAGGCAACATATATGCGAGGGAAGGCCTGTCCAGTTATACCCATAGTGAACGCAATGCACACAGTTCAGAAGGCAGAAAGCAGGTAGGGACTCAGCAGATGTACAGCGAAAGGTGCTGGGATTCGTTGACCAGAGAAAGCCGTCATGAGCACTGGGTCTATGCAACCCCACTAAATGACAGTAACTCCGATGAGCATGTCATTGAAAAGGTTGCAGCTATAGAAACCGAGCGTCCTGATCAACCAATGGTTCCTGATTCACGTGAACACAAACCTGGATGCAGTGATGTATCGTATAATCCTCCACCAATGAAAGATGCACATCTGAAGTTGCATGAAATCAAACAAGAGGTTATTGCAGATACAAACTATGACACAGAAGGTGGGTTGTACAATATGGACCCATATTTTCAGGCTGACGACTTATCACAGTCAAGTCCTTCAACAAGCCCCATGTACATTTGTGGGCACTGTAACATCGAGGTGGATAGTGAGGTTCTCTTGCTGAATCACATGCACAGTGATCATATCATAAAAATATAGGGTGTGTCCCGTTGAAAGCTTCTAGTGATGTTTGTGTTAATTCAGACCCATATGTGAGTAGTTTGCATGTGTAGAGTTAGAGTTTTCTTTGCAATCTGTTGATGTGTTCTGAGACTTCTCCTATATTAATTATGTTAAAATGCAATAAACTGTACCTTATAATACGACTAATTTCCTTCCTTTAACGAGAGGATTAAATCTTTTATGGTGTTTATGACCATGCACTTATGACAGTAGTAAAACCTAATGGCATGGTTGTTACAAATCCCGTTTCACCCCGATTTCGTTTCTAGACTTGTCAGCACCACGTTACGGTTACTGCTGGTGACTTTCACCAATGTGGTAAAACGTTTGAGACCTACGTCACTTCCGGCCTTTCTAACGCGCATAACTGAAATACTGTTTAACACGACTCACTAAGTGGCTGTGAAACTGGTTAGATTCACGTGGTGCATAACCTATTCGTCATATATAGTCAGCATCTAACTCGCGATGGATGAACGACTGAGGTGAGGTGAAATTAGGTTTTACGTCGAGCTTGAGAATATTTCGCTCATATGACGACGTGCATGCGTGTGTATGTGTATGTGCAGCTGCTTGTACTAGCCCAGACTGAAGCTGGTTTTATAGTGCTAGCACACTGAGATACCACACCGCAGTGAAGCATGAATACCCCACTCAGACACATTATACTGACTCCGAGCCGACCAGTCCTTGTTGTACCCATTAATGCCGAGCGCCGGGCAGAGACCAACAAGTACCATATTTTAACGTATTTTGGTATGACGCGGTCGGGGATCGAACCCGTGACCTTCCGCTCTCCGGGCGGACGCTCTATAATCACTACACCACGGAGGCGGTCGATGAACGACTGAAGTGTGTGAATCACTCATATAATGACTAAAACTTGTGGCGGTGATGGTGTCAAGTTTGATGTTGCTGCACAGAGACATTTTCCACAGTGTGTTCGTTAGGCTGTAGACCTTTCTGAACAGTATTTCAGTCGCATCACGGCGTTCAATATAATGTTGAGGAAATTCCGAAGTGGTCCATAGAAAACCAATACCTTTTCTGCAAAAAATCCCCCACGCTGCCAGTAGATAGACAACAACCCGATGTTTAAGTACCGGTCCAGGACCCAATGTTTGAAGATTATTTCTGCTATCATAATTTAACCAATAAAGGATACACTAAACATTATTCCAGTCAAACTTCTCTCTATGGACTGTTTTTAGAATTGTTGGTTTGACAGTTGTGTGTGTTAATGTGACCTGTACAAAAGTCCCACATTATGTGAAGTAGTGTGTACTTATCATGTTTGGAGTCATAGAAATCGTTTACTCTCCGTCCCCATATGTGTAATTCCCGGGTATGGAATGTGGCCGTGTAAAAGCTTAACAACTTACCACACATGCATAAATCCGTAGACCTATATAGCCTCCTTCCGTCGCCATGGAAACTAACAAAGCCATATGTTATGGCTACGTCGTTAGTACATTATGATACAACCGTATTGATTTTATATTGATGTCAACTGCGTGTGTGAACTTCGTTACAAAAGTGGTCCCGAGTTAAACAAAGGCTGTATACATAGGGAAATGTGTAATATATTTAAAGTGTCCTTTGATCTGAAGGTTGCTCGAGACGGACACCTTTCGACACTGGTCTTGAAACATAGCTCACTAAGTAACATTACATATTACATATGATATGAGTCAGCCGCCTTACCTGGATGTCGCGGTGGCTGAGCGAGTAAGGCGGCTGACTTTGTGTGCTGGCGATTAGGTGCCTGACTCTGAGGGTGTGGGTTCAAATCCCGAATGGGACTCAACCCCAAAAGTACTAGAATTTGTACTTTACAAAGAAAGTTTAATCCCAAATATAACATATGTAACTTGGCATAAAATGCATGTGCCGCCAACAGGCACATGGGGTCATCTCAAAGGTATTTTATGCGTTTTCATGTGTGTTGAATATGCCTTATCTGTTGATTAACATCTTAAGTGTCTTTCTTTAATAAAGTTTATGTTGAGACATGTTAAAGAGTATGATACCCATAGAAAATAAGCTTAAATCAGCCGTTTCAAATGTCTCAAAATATATAGGTAGCATGACCACTCGAAGATCGACAGGACTGGATATTATTTGTAAATTGTTATGACATGCCTTTTACTTCTCCAGTTTAGTTCCCCTAAAGGATTATCTTATCTCAGCTGACAAGGCAGGGTTTTTCTATTTCCGACAGTACTTTAGTTAAGAATACATACTATACAGTGCAACGGATTGTGTTGGGTGCAGTTATGTCGAACGTCTGAGACCCTTTTCCAATTTCTCTTAGTTTTTGTTTGTGTGTTTAACGCCGCACTCACCTATATTCCAGCGGTCTGTAAATAATCGAGTCTGGACCAGACAATCCGGTGACACACATGAGCATCGAGCTATACGCATTTAGGATAAGCATGAACCAAGTATGCGAACCTCACCACCCGATCCCTATAGTCGCCTCTTACCACAAGCATGGCATATTGAAGACTAATTCTCCGATGGTTACTTATAAAATATAATTTCATGGCTTTAAATCAAACATTTCTGGTATTTGCTATGCTTGTTGTAATATACAGTGCTTGGCAATAATCTTTCAGTGCAAATATTTTGAGTTCATATTTATCTCTATTAGAGATATACTTCTATATCATTTAAATATAACACTCAACACAAACAAGACGCCTATCAATATTTTAAAAATGTGAGAACGAAACGGCACTTATCAAATACAACCAACTGAAATAAGCCAATGTAAACAATGTCATGTATTTTCACTAAAACCGCGTTTTATAGGTGTTACAGAAAAGTAATTCCTAAGGTGTCCCAAATCAAAGCACTTCCTGTAGCTATTAAGATAACAGCTCAAACTTCAGTCCTCTCCAAACACCAGTCTAAGTAAACTTAGCCTCAGTATTATTCGTTACCCTACTATACTGTAGAGGAGTGTAACGAATAGTACTGAGACTAAGTTTACTTAGACTGCTCCAAACACATTCGTAGGCCTACAGCTGATGATCGGTAAGCGAACTTGATTGCCTCTGACGATCGAAGATAACATGAAACATTTATGATATACCATGAAATATATAACATACATAATTGAACTTTTACAGTTTTTCTGTTTCACGCCCACTCAGTAAGATTCCTGCTATCATACAGAGTCGAATATGGACAACATGCTGTGATCCTGTCTGTCGCGCCGGGATACGGTAACGAGTAATTAACAAAGTCACAGAGCTTGATGTACTGATCCATCTTGTCGGGTGTATTTACGACAAACATGGTTCTGTTTAGGAACTATTTCAGTATTTGTAACAGGAATTTTAAATCTAGAATTTCCATAAGATCTTGAGGGTGAGGCACGTTTCCTCCAGACACATTTTTGCAAGACAATTACGACTATATTTTACGTACGCTTCAGTGACTATTAAAGAATTGGTTGGCATGGTTTACGCAAGTTTACCCACAGTCCAGCAATAACACAGTTAGGGGCACCAGAAATAGGTTTCACACATTGTATGTATCCATGTGGAGAATCGAACCCGGTCCTTCGACGTAACACGTGAATGCTTTAACCACCACCACTGACTACTGAATAAATTAAAAGTTAACTCATGAGTGAGTGTGTGAGTTTGTTTTTACGCCGCTTAGAAGATGGTGTTTAGGATGGTGAAATATGATGTGACCTCCGTTGCTGGTTGTAGTTCTACAGTAAACAGTGATAGCTTTGGTATTTACATTTAATATTAATATTTTAATACGTGTATGGCTCGATGGGGACATCTCTGTCAACGGTGTGAATATCCCATCGACGAATATGTACGATAGTTCCCGAATGAAATCGATCTGGGGGAATGACTCCAAGTTTGGTTCCAGTCGTCTATTATTTTGCCAACCTGTGGTATGCCTACTAGTTCGGACCAAAAAGCGCATATCTCATTGACATGTCTAATTACTAGACATACGTGTAATCGCAGTGTTATATTTTCAGGGACACTCGTGGTGTAGTTTATGCGTCGTAATGTCTTTGATCGATTTTAAGCGTGAGTAGATTCTCTTTCAAGAACATATCCTAGTCTAGACCCTGAACCACATTATTTACCCTACTGCCTAGCCCTCTCTGCAGTGCTAAAGCCCTAAATGAAGCAAGTCTAGATTTCCTCAGGTTCGGGATCTCTGGTCTGCCTTGGGCTTATTTTCAATTTAAATGGGTTTGTTCGTTACTATCAACATAATATATATATATATATATTCAGAGAATAAGCGTTAGTCTAGAACATATCCTTAAATTAGCCTGTATGATTGCTTTATAGGAGGATGTGTAGAGTATCATAGTGCTATAACCAGTCAGTGACGTAACGTGTACGCGACAATGATGATAGACTAAGGCTTAGTCTCTGAATATATATAATTTGGATAGTAACAAACAAGCCCATTTATATTGAAAAGGAGCCCTAGGGAGACCAGAGGAAATCTAGACTTGCTTTATTTAGGGCTTTAGCACTGCAGAGAGGGCTAGGCAGTAGGGAAAATAATGTTGTTCAGGGACTGTGAGACAGACTACAATGATGATAGCGTACATTACTATAAACATGCAAGGTGTCGGTTACAGTTGGATAATTCTAGCCACTCACTTTACACCAATTTAAACGGCATGCATAAATTGTTCGTCAGAATACATCCAAAATGAGAGGATTGACCATATTTTGCATGTTTCAAGCATTAATTTACTGGTGTCTGTTCTTGCGCTCAACAACACACTTTCTTACTTCCTCATAGACTAACGCTTAGTCTCTGAATATAGGTAATTTTGATTGTAACAAATAAACCCTTTTAAATTGAAAAGGAGCCCCAGGGAGACCAGCGATTCAGAACCTGGAGAAATCTCGACTTGCTTCATTTATAGCATTGCGGGTAGGGCTAGGCTGTAGGAAAAATAATATGGTTCAGGGACTGTGAGACAGACTAACTTCCTCAGAACGTAATAGTTTCATAGGATATGACCCAATCGATTAAATGGCGTGAACTCATGTTTTCTACACTCACTCGTATTTTGACCATGTAAATTTAATTCACAAATCAACACGTATACAGTGTGCATATTTGTTTTATACATCGATTCACTCGCACTGTGAGCACGTATATTGCATACACGTATCGACACAGAGAATCGTTGTTATATACACTGACTGACCTGCATTGAGGACACTACATTATGTACAAGGACACACTCACAGTGCGAGGATTTGTTTTAACTACATTGACTCACTCACTCGCGTGTTTCATATATTGAACCATTCGCAGCATTTTATGTATACATTGTAACACGTTTTATTTGGGAAGCCACTTTTTCAGAAAAGTGCAGATTCTAGTACATTTGCTGGAGAGTCCCATCCGTGTGTGCATCCGCCTATGATGTGTACCCGTCTAATAAGTGTAAATTGGCACGGCTTCCACGGCTGAAAGCTATGAATACACAATGTCATTTAGAAAGTGGTCAACTGTAACATATGTCGAATCCTGGACTCAAATCAACACTGTCAGAGTCAGGTACCCAATTGCCAGGTAACTGACTCAGCCACCGTGGCTTCCACAAAACTCAGACAACTGGTAGTCAAGAACACAGACTACCCCTCTGGCAAGTGTAAAATGGCACTGCTTCCATGGCCGAAAGCTATGCCATTTAGAAAGTAGTCAAAATGTAACATGTTAATATTTGGGATTACACTTTCTCAGTAAAGCACAGATTCTAGTACTTTTGTTTGGGTGAGTCCAAACCGGGATTCGAACCCACACCTTCAGAGTCAAGCACCTAATGACCAGTACACAAAGTCAGGCGACTTACCCAGTCAGCCCTCGCTTACATTACCATACATGTAGTTAACTGATCAGTGTTACGTTGTACTAAGCAACATTAGCGCTACGCCAGTCTCAAGTCCGGGTATGGTACGGGATGGTATGGGAGTTACGATCACCTCAGCGCTAAGATCGCTTTGTACAACGGCACCCTGTAGTTACCTTTTGATTCGATACAAAATTATGCACAGAAGTATTGATAATAATTGAGACGCATGTACGCTCGGAACGTGGCCTAATGAAAGATATGGTTTCCGGAGAGTTTCTGATGATGCACTGAATGAGTCGCCGTAAAATATCTTAATGTTGGATCATTATTAAATATGCTTGTGTTATGGTGTCACATAAATCATAAATGTTCCAGTTTGATGGTGGGGTCTGTATAATAACTACGACCACCTACGGCAAGCCTGGATTGATGACGATCTGTTTCAGCCGGGATCAGGACATACAGGACATCTCTGATCTTCAACGACTAGATAATGTTCAGCTAGTGTAGTAATTAATGAATGGGTTGAATGAGGAGGGTGGTCTATCATACACATGTGAAATCCACTCGTCTCCCCTTTCCATAAAAAGCGGTAGAAAATTAAAGAAAATTCGCTTACCGACTCATTAATAAACAGTGTAAATTTTGTCTTTTCATGAGATGAAAATACTATTCTAAAGGTTATGAATTGTTAATAAGCATTGAACATTACAGTTTTAGAATTCACCCACAATGTTCTGGTCGGATTTTGCCTTATTGTAGCCGCTTCCCAGATAGCATTCAGACGTTGGCCCAACGTTGGCAATGGTTTTGCCAACATTGCCAACGTTGGGCCAACGTCCGAATACTATCTGTGTTGAAGTACATGCATATAAGTCTCGTATATGAATATTGAGTTGTAAGGTTCCACAAAATATTAACACCAGAGATTTCGATAACTACGTCTGCAGGAAGCCAGCCAGGTGAGGTTGATAAATGATGTGCCTGCCCAATTAATAAGAAAACAAAAGCAACGGGGCCATCACTCCTGTTAGCTATGCTGCTGCCATGATACTGAATGGGGAAAGTGGTCATTTACATAATTAATGTGACAATATTGGTGCAAACCCCAAGTCTATGACGTCACACACGACTGGCCAGTGCGCGAAATTCGGAACTCTTCAATGCGAGAGGAAGAGAAGCGGGTTTGTTATGGTCTGCAAGTCACAAACTGTGTGTGTTGAAATGGTCCTATCTGCCCCTTGCACTCAATATGGATACGCTGTAGCTGGGTCTCGCATGGATGTACTACAAAGACAAGAGTCGGGGTAAGTAGTAGGAGTGAATTGTTGTCGCATGTCGCCGCGGCGAGCTACAGTTGCCGGCTGCGAGTTGGTGACTGTCGCGAAATTATGTTTCGCGATGTGACCCAGATCTTACGTCGTCAGTGTTGAATTCGCCTCCCAGATCGATATTTGTGAGTTGGAAGAAGCGTTTGAAAGATTACACACAGCAGTTATTGTGTTTGTTTTGTATAGCCTGCCATCATATCTCATGCTTCGTGAGATAGTGGTGGTTTATCCTCATGGAATTTACTCTTCATGGAGATGGAATGTGCGTGAACAGCATAGCGACATCAGCAGCCGGTGTAGGTGCAGTTGTTGATCAGCTGTTGTTCAAGTGTGGTCACAGTGATGCACCATCAACCAACATAGGTGGGCGTGTCAGCGTCCATCTACCCATGCACAAACAACCTTCGTTAGTAATGAAACTCCATGCCATACCATGTTATAAACAGAACACTCAAAATAGACCAGTGGAATGTAGACAGGCAATGGAGAAGTGAGCTCTATTCCAGCTGCTTAGACAGAAAATACCATCTTTTGTCATATTTTCACTAACCTGCCTGAAAATTGAAATGTTTTTAAATAAATGCAGGTGACCTCATGAATTGCAGTAGGCCTATTACTACCAAGGAGGTAGGAGTCTTCAGCACACAACTCTATACATAACGGTTAGAGCATATCAGGAGCTTTTGTTCCACATGAATGACCTTACTATTCCAGCAATCAGCTGGAGCAGTCAGCTGGCAGTGAGGTAACCCACAGATGATAACATTGTAACAAGTCTCAGCCTTTGCTTGATTTCTGCTTTGAGCAATTAGTTGCGTGGTATTGGGTAAGGTTCTGCAAATGATTTGTTAGACGTCGTCATAGTATGAAATTATTCAAATGTTACATGGTCAGTCGAGGAGTGGTTTTGTCAAGTTTGACCTGAGCTTGGTCAGTTCACATGGTTAGATATCAATTATTTTTGTCACTTAGTCCACTTTGTGTCTGCCATATGCACTATTCTGAATTAAGTATGAACAATGAGGAGTCCTATGCTAGTAATAAAATAACTATATTTTTTAATTCTTATCATCACTAGTCCACTGCCTATCTGCCTTAGACCAAAAATAAATATATGTGTGTTTAGGGTAACATGAAATTATAAAACAGGGTCGATAGGTAGGGTTTATGTTTTTATTTTCTTACATTTTCTTTTTAATGCACTTACATATTTTTAAAAAAATCACTTATTTATGTAATATCAGTTACCTGTTTTAAAAGAAATGAGGGGAAACCAGTTTAAAATTTTAATAACTGAAGCATCAACATTTCTATAGTCAACATTTATGAAAAACAAGAGTAAGTGAGCACAGGTCACATATGGTCGCCCCCAACATTGGGGAGTACCTACTGTTGGGATAGCAAAATGTTTCGCCGTCTTTTAAAAAAACGAGAAAAAAAGTTTTGGGTCGGGAGGTTTATGATGGGGTCAGTCGGGAAACTGTAAACACTCATATTTTTTTTGCCTTAATGCACTATTTTTAATAAAGCATAAACATTGAGGTGTCCTATAAATTGGTTCCTGAGTTCATATACTGTACTGGGAGCTTACCTGAAGGAACCTGAATTATTAATTCTGTAATCACTGAAAGTAGACTAACATTTTGTCTCTAAAATGAAAGTGTTTTAAGAAGTCATGTGGGGTAATTGTTTTTTCAAAGGACCGGTCATTTTTTATAGGGGGAACCAGGCAAGGGTCTTAAATACATTACACGTATTTGGGGATAGTCATGGTAAATTGGAAATTTTACATTATAAACTGAAGTGCTTTTGTAATGTATGTTTTCAGTGTGGGTCATGTAAAATTGTACAAGACCTGGGGGAGGTCATCCATTATTATGTGATAAACATTATTTTCATTATGATGTTCATTATTTTCATTAGCTCATTAGTGCATCAAAACCTCTGACACGTCCCCTGTCTTATATGACCAGTATGTTTATATATATGATATGTGAAATGTATATATAATATATGAACTAGAACCAAGAGAATATCATTGTTTTCTTGAAATTGAAGGGATCTAGACTTGCCAAAGTGTTGTCAGACTTACTGGGAAGTTTTCATATAGTTCTGATGCAAAGTCAGTAGGAGAAAGTTTGGTTAAGTGGAAGGCCAGGTGCAGTTCTTAAACTTAATGTATTTTCTTTGTCTTGAACTTGCAGGGTTTTGTTGATTTTGATCCCAGCAGAGACCATGTAATAGATCATGGTCTGTGATCCCAGCAGAGACCATGTAATAGATCATGGTCTGTGATCCCAGCAGAGACCATGTAATAGATCATGGTCTGTGATCCCAGCAGAGACCATGTAATAGATCATGGTCTGTGATCCCAGGGTCATCAAAATGAATGATATTTTTTCAATGTTTGTAATGTTGATTGGTTCCAAGCTTGACAGTAGAAAGTGTCAACTGTGTAGGTAATATGACAAGTGTAGGATCGGGAGTACCATAAATAGTGGTGGCATACATGATGTCCTGAGTGTGAGCACAGTGACCAAATTGTTGGTCAGTGTTTTATTTCTGAATTCATCACCCATATACAATAGTGTGATAAGAAACATGTTGACAACCGTTAGTGTTGTAAGTTCATAACTTGGTGTACATATTACAGCCAAAACAAGGTCAACTGATAGAAATCAAGTTCAGTCAATTGTTCTTGAAGGCCAAGGGGCAGTGGTGTAGCCTAGTAGTTAAAGTGTCTGTTCATCACGCCAAAGACCCGGTTCGATTCCCCACATGGGTACGATGTGTAAAGCCCTTTCTGGTGTCCCTGTCATGATATTGCTGGAATATTGGTAAACGTGGCGTAAAACCATACTCAATCAATCAATCTTGAAGGTGTGACTAGAGTAGTAGCTGTACTTTTGGTGCAGCAACAGTGGAGACCAGTATGTAAAACAACAGAAGGATGTACTCCTAGATGCTCTTCAGTCATGGAAGTGAGTGAGTTAGGAAATGGGCTTCACATATTGTGCCCATGTGGGAAATCGAACGCATGTCTTCGGCATGACGAGCGAACGCCTTAACCAGTAGGCCCTACACCACCCCTCATGGAAGTGTCTGTGACTAGCATACATGGGGTGTAGCATGGAGGAAATCACAGACAGCTGCATACGGCAGGGAGACATTGTCACTCACATATTGTCAGTAATCACAGTGGTCAAGGCTAATTTTGCATTGTGACACATCACAATATGATATTAAGTATGATTCCGCTTTGTGTTGTACTGAATTCACCCAAGCGGTGGTTCTAGTGGGGTACACCCTTGAAGTTGGCTGGTAAGTCTAGAGATAGCAGGAACTAAGACTTTAAATGTCGGGCTTATGACAAGGACATTAACCGAATAGCTTTCAATCTTAGGTTCAAATACTCACAATAATAATAATAATAATAATGAGTGAATTTATAAAGCTAAAATACTCCAAGCACTAAGTGTCTGATCTAAAGTAGCTTTGATGGTACGGTATTTCATGAGTAGGAAGGCGGAATCTAGCAGTGATACAATTGTAGGAATTGATGTAATTAAATGAGATATTGAAGTTGTCTAGGGTTGGTGACAGTCTGATAGCATGTAGAAGAGTTCAAGAGAAGGTTGACAACTTAACTGAATGAAGTGTAGCCAAATGACTTCAGATAAGTTTTGAAACCAGGCTTATTGTTTTATTTAATGTACTGTGGTTTGTATTGTAAGAAACATACGTCATATTATACATATCTTTATTTGACCATTGGTGTTATATTTAGGTATTGTGGGAAATGGACAAGATGAATAGGGCACCTGTATTATTTGGTTCAGTTCACAGAACAGACCCATTTATTGTAAGTGTGAATCTGCCTCTAGGTACCTAAATGTGGGTGAGATAGGTAGTTGATGTATTAATATCTTATGATGTCTTTCCCTCCATACAAGAACAATTAATAAATTGATTAATTATTGAAAGAAAAGTTAAAGCGTATTGACAACCAAGTGTACCTCCACACTTCCAGGTGAGTCCTAAATCACTCAGTTGGGCAGAAACATTTGATAGGGGAGCTGTATCAACATGGTGAGGAGAAACTTTGGAAATGCTCTGGTCGGGAAGCCAAGTTTAGTATAATTCTGTTTGTTGTTGTGGTAATGTCAGATAATAATGATTGGCAGCTCAGGAGCACCACATGATGTTTAGGAGAGGAAACTCATGATGATCCTTTTAGGTCCAGAGATGGCTCAAGTTGGGTTCATTGACACTTGGCTGTGTGATTCCTCTAATCTGCTATGTGCATGTGCTTGTTTTCCAGGTGAAGTCAGTTGGGATGTAGGTGGTATAGCCTCTGTCAAGAGTAGCTGGCTGCCAATTTGATTGCATAAGCTCACTGGGAAGATGGCGTCCTGCTATCCATGATTCTCACTTCTGTTTACAGACTGCTGCCATATAGCTGGAATATTGCTGAGTGGGGCGTAAAACTAAACTCACTCACTCTATTAAAGATTCCTTCCTGTAGAAGGGGTAAAGTCTTTTTTGGAGAGGCAGTCATGATATTAGTACTAGCAGGAGCTATTTGAGTTATTATAGGATATTTATATAACACACATATCCATGCAACTAGTACATGCTCAAGGCACTGGTATTTTTCCCCTCGATCATTGGATGTCAATCTCAACGGCACATCATATTATCAATCTCAACTCTTGGGGAGCATACAACTCTTGCAGCCACTAGGCGCACCAAGTTATTGTTGCTTTCCCATCCTTACGATGCACCCATTCACAGCTGGGTGGACTGGGACACATAGTCACAGTACATTGTCCATTTTACTGCACATTGCTGTACCTACAACTGGGTGTTTGCACGTATTCATGTGGCCACCATCTGGTCATATACCAACAGATTCGAGGATTCTTTTAAGTGCACAGGGTTGTGTACTGTACACTAGGGGTTGTGACAACACTGAA